TTCCTTTATAAGGTCTAGTTAAGACACCGGAGCAGCACAAAGAGAAACCAAACATATATTTAGTTACTTCTCTCTGCATATTATGTGAGACAAATGGCATGCAAAGGGAAATAATCCACGCGATTACATTAGCTACTGAAATCTGACTCTGCTCAAAGCATTTTGATGTACTGCTGTACTCGAGGTTTGCATATTTCTATATCTTATATACACAAACAAAAGTATCCATGTCATCTAATCCCTATTTAATACTAACTTAATTACAAATGCCTGTAGTAGCACAGTGATGAATGACCACAGACTCCTGCCAAAGTCTGTGATCATTCATCTGCTCTTAGACGGTGTTGCATAACACAGTAGGTCAGTAATTAATTTGAGGACATGTAACAAATCAAATCATTTCCCTGGTTCACTTTGTCTCCCAGAATCCATAGGCTCAGTGCAAGGCCTGTGTCTGTTACCATAGCAACCTAATGAAGACTAGGTAGGCCATTTAAAAGCATAAGTGCTGAAAATAACAACAGTAGGCAACATCACGCTAACCAGGTAGCGGCCCTCCTGTCAACTTGAGAAGAGTTCACACTGTGTGTGTCTCCTGTCTCTGGTATAGTGTTAATTCAATATGAAGTGGAAAGGTTGCCACAGTTCAAGTTCAGTTGTGTTTCTGAAAAACAAGGGAAGAAGTAACCAAGATCTTAGAAGTATAGGCTTGAGTCCAACTAGTACAAACTCATCTACCTCTCTGGGTCACTGTGTATCCAGCTACTGACTGGCTGCCTGCCACCGCCTGTCTTTGTGATTTCTAACTTTGCCTCCTGGAGTCAGCTTTGTCAGACAGTTTGAAGGATGAGTTTTTCTCCTTTTAAAGGCCTCTTGGAACCAGAGTACAGCTAAGATCGCATGTGGATAATACTGTATGTTAATACCCTAGTTTATAGTATCATTTTCTTCTAGCATAGTTTCCTAAAATCATCAGATATACTTCAGGATATTTCAGCACCCTTTAGAGTCAGAGAAAAGTATTACAATAAAACATTTTGCCTTAAGGTAATTAAACTAAGTGTTTCCCTGGTTTTAATCATTTATCTTTGGGACCTTAAGTCAATCCCTGCAGTCACTGGATGAAGACAGGGTCTAATCTGCAGGGCAACCTCGGCTTTAGGATTCCATTAGAATGTCTTTGAGAAAGATGACTTCTCATTGGATTTATATTTTATGTTAAAGTGATGATTCCAGTACCAAGTTTCAGGTCAATTCTATATATATTTGGTCAAACCGACTGATAAAGCATGTCACAACTACCTCATCAGCACCTGGCTGCAGGCAACAAAGACCCCACAATTGTGGCTAAATACCACAACCCTAGCATGACAACATCACATTAGAGCATCAATCTGCCAATCACCAAAAGTTTTGGACTGGCACTGTAATTATCTATTGATCAGCATTTTCTCTCTTCTCTGATTTGTGTGTCTCTCACATTGTGTCATTTTTTTTCTCAGTGTAACACCTCTACTCCAATTGTTCTTTCTCCCATATTGTCTGCAATTTCAAGCTGTTGCCCTTTATTCCAAAAAGCTCAACACACATTAATGGTTGTGTATTAAAGTCTTCTTGTGTTGTGTGAAATTTAATTGTGAGTTTTCTCTGATTTGTTTTTAGTGAAAAGCCCTGCCTTACAACAACACACAAAAACATTATGAATTGTCTGTGTGAATAAAGTAAAAAAGTGAAATAGTCGTTATTGTAGCACTGCACACAACGAAATGTGACCAGTGTGTGGGGACAGTGCAGTGTTCAGTGCACCTCAGAGGTAGTTTCGCAGCTGGTGGACTCAAACTTGAAACCTTTCAGACCTAAGTCCACTTCCTTAACCACCCAGTAACTATTATATGAAATTTGTTTGTGTGACTAATTAGGGTGAATGTTACATGCATCTGTGACGTCACCTAATGTTTACATTTGACTTACTGCTTCATCATCCATTCACATGTCCATGTGAATTTGTACCACTGATGATCATGGTCTGCTTCTAACTGAACTCCTGTACCGCAGAACCCACACAAACACGAGACACCTACACTCAGACAGACACACACATCCGAGAATGAGTCAGGCAGTTAAGAATGTGTGTTTTTGTGTGCTCCACTCACATGCTCATGCTTTTGCGATGCACTCGGTCAGAAAGCCCATCAATGACAGAGATTTTGCTCTGCGTTGCTATGGTAACAATGAAAGAATTTTTCCATTTGTGGACGAATAGAAAAAGAATACAGTCTGTGTGTATTTACAAATTATCTTAATACATTGAAAAACACAGCAGTCATTCCTTCACTCTGCCCACTCAGTATAAATCCATGTGGCTGCAGTGATTATTGGACATAGTGGCTTTATGAAACAGAATGTGACTTGCTGAGAGAAAGCGGGGGTGGAAGGTCCTTCCTGCCTCAACATGTCAGTCAGTCACCTAGTCTTTTAGTGATCACTTCTTTAAGGTTTTAATACTATAGGTGGAGCAATAAACTGTTAGGGTATTAAACTATTGAACCCGTTTCTCAGTTTGTGTTTTTGGACTAATCAGTCACTTATTTGTTTTAACACAACATTAGAGAAAACTGAGAGATTGTGTACCCTATATACAGTAGTATATAGGCAATGCAGGGCATCAAAATTATACATGTAAAAATGTCAGAAGTAGTGAAATGAATTCATCAAAGCCTAACTTAGACATGGACAGGTTATGGTGCCTTAGATGTTTTATTACCACAATTCATTTTCTGACAGGTGTGACTAATACAGCCAGAAAATACAGCCGATCCCTGGTGGCAAGTTACAACAAACATGTCAAGCAGATGTAGAAATTGCTGTGACTTTGTGTATAGTGAAGTGAGTGTAAAATGTCACATTCACAGTTTTAAAAGGGTAGAATATGTTTCAGTGTAACATCTCCAGCCAAACTGTGATTGAGCTGCTTGTCAATAACACAGTGAGGCAATAGTCTGTCACTCAGCAATGCTACGCTCGTGTTAATTTCCGATGTACAGTAACTCTGCTGTGTATACACAAGCTGTATTTCACGAACAGTATCTTCCTGTCAGTCGACTCATTACTCTCTTTGAATCTCAAACACTGGTAGGTTTAGGCATATGACGATATAAGATATACAAACACATCCGTGCACATACAAACAAGCTGACAAAAGTAATAATGTCATCATATAACGGCGGCAGTTTTCAGGTAACTAAATTGTCATTAGGACGGGCAGTAGGGTATCACTCTAACAGTTCTGAATGGACTGAAAATAGAGCATTATAGTAGGAAACTCAGCAATGATTGTCAGTAAATATGTGTGTGTGTGCATGCAAACTAATTCCTTTAGTCATCCTTTATGTGTATAATAAAAATGTAATTCATTTTAATTAAAGTATTCTATGCTGATATTTTTAAGTAAATATGTATAATCTTTTTGTATTCATGTAACTTAATTTGGTAAAAGTAGAGGAAAAGCAGATGACACACTGTAAGAATTTAGTTTTGAGGCTACAAAACTAAGTACATCAGTAGTAACTTCTAACTTCTAACAATTATAACCAAGTAAACTATGTATTGAAGTACTTAGTTTACTTGCTACTTAATACTTTGTTTACTTGGTACCTAAATTTAAGCCAGAAGTTTCTTTGGTAGTTGCAAAGGGAGTGGCTTATTATGGTATCTGACAGTCAGACACTTATCTACCATCCTATTTAGACTAAAAACACTTTGCTGAGTCTTTTCTTAGCGACTTCAACACTTTGAAGTCTCTCTTTGTCTTTCTTGCAGTATAAGACAGCAGCAAAAGACCTTTTCAAAGCATTACAAAAAAGACTTTCCATCGTAAATGTCACTTCATATGGTTTCTGTATTAGTAGACAATCTTACTAAGAACAGGAGGAGGTGCTTCCTGTTTGCTCAGCCAGATAGAAACCTCTCTCACCCGACTTTCCTACTGTATCTTCCCCTCAGGAGTCCCACGCTTATTCTGACTTTAGCTCTCTACACTTCAGCTTCTTTGGTTAGATGTCAAATAAGAGGATTTTAGAAGTAATAAAAGCAAAGGAGATTGAGACGAAAAAATGAATGAACACAACACTCATTGTAGTTAATCAGATATCATTTCTAGAATAACTTCACACCAGATCTAACCGGAAAGTTGGTGGTCTTTGTCTTTCTGCTCAGACTCAGGCTCTAATTTTTCTTTATTCAGTTCCCAAGAGTTTTAATGGGAAGTAAGTCTTAATGCTGTTTGTGGCAAATACTGTTAGCCCACTTACCTTTTTGAATGAATACTACTTTGGTCAGTTTCCATGATTCCTTTAGTTTTAATTGTCCATCTCTGAGGTCATTTACACAACCTCAACTTATCAAAGCACAACCCACGGCTGTACAGTGTTGTGCTGTGAAACAAATACAAGGCTGTCTTTCACATAAGCTGCCTGAAGACTGATATCCATACAATGTTACATATACATTTTATTGAAGGCAAACACAAAATACAAGTCTTTATCCTGTTTTTATGAAAAATGCAAGTACTCTCAGGTAGAGTATTGAGCACCCTGGCTGAACAGATGATAAATCCAAATGATGTTTGTGGAGCAGTTCAACTGCTTCAAATGTCATCTGACTGTGAATTAAAACCAGGTTTAGTGTGTGTTTGGAGATTTTATGGGCTAATTAAACTCATGTTGGGCATATGGCACTCTGAGCCATTTTCCATGGAAAGTTTCATTAGCTTTAAAAAAAAGGAAATGATTTTAGTCCTGATGTGTCTCTAAAGAAGGAAGTGCTTACATTTTTGTTTAGTGTCTTGACAAAGCCACATGAGGACATGAGATACAGTATGTGTGAGCTTAGATTAGTCATGGAGTATGAGACTTAAAAACCTGATTTTTTATATATTTTCCTCATGCATTAAGTTAGTCACCATCTTGTCTCTTTTTTTTCTCCCTTTCCCATCTGTGCAGAGTGATCAACAGGCCTGACAGACATGGGAAAGCAGAACAGCAAACTCCGTCCTGAGGTGATGCAGGACTTGCTCGAGAGCACTGACTTCACCGAGCATGAGATCCAGGAATGGTACAAAGGCTTCCTAAGGGACTGCCCCAGCGGAAATCTTTCTATGGAAGAGTTTAAGAAAATCTACGGCAACTTCTTTCCTTATGGGGATGCATCAAAATTTGCAGAGCATGTCTTCCGCACTTTTGACGCCAATGGCGATGGGACGATAGACTTCAGGGAGTTCATTATTGCGCTGAGCGTCACGTCCCGTGGAAAGCTGGAGCAAAAGCTGAAGTGGGCGTTTAGTATGTATGACCTGGACGGGAACGGATACATCAGTAAATCTGAGATGCTGGAGATTGTACAGGTGAGTGTGCACACTTAGAGGTTGGTGTGTCATTTATGTCTATGCAAACACAGTATGGGTTGAAAAGGCTGGAGAAACTTGTCTCCTCTCAGATTAGGTTATGTTTAACTATTTTTACTTCCCTACTGTATATTAACCCTGGGCCTGGAGCAGTGAAATGGTACTAGAAGGCTCCAAGTTCAACACCAAGTCCCCAAAATCCCAGATTGTATCAGAACGAGCATTGTTTGTAAAAACTGAAAGCTGGAACTGATTCTCTATATCTTCCTCTATACTTACTTTCCTTATAGAAAATTTGAAGGCATACAACATTTTTAGTTGTTTTTAAGGTACCAAGAAATATGCTTTTTTTAATGAACCTCAGCTTTACATATAAACATTTTCTTACACTAATACATATACTAAAGAATAAAAAAGATGGAAATAATGAAAAAAAAAAAAAGAAAACAACAAGGAAAAGGGTGGTGTGTGTGTTTGCGCATGTGTGCGTGTGGCATTTCCTTTGTAGAACTTCCCCATATAAACACAGTGGCCTGTAGGTGTGTGTTTGTTTTTGCTCATACACATTTCTATTTCCTCTACAATTTTGTAACAGCAGCCAGATCCGTGTATGCATTTACTCAGAGAAGGTCTCACTAGTGTGACTAATTCCAGAAGATTCTGTGACTCAGTGACTTTACAGGATCTGTCTCCACCGTGAGCAGGTCTTCAGATGTGGAATCCAACCATTCTCTGCCTGTGACCCAGCTCTGAGTTGAGACGGAACCAGAAAAAACAATCGTATCCTGGCCTCTCTTCCTAATGCAACATGATGTTCACAGGCAGTCAGTCAAATTGGCAGTCGGTCAGTCAGTCTTAATGATTCTTAATGATTCAGTGACTCAGAATCAGTCAGGTCTATCAGCCAAGTATATGTTTACTGCTGACCTCTGAAGAACTGAAGGACCTGCATGTGATTCTTCTTCATCCAATAGACTATGAAATCATTCAACTACATCTTATCTGTCTTCTTATTGGTTGCTTGTAAATGTATGTTTCAGTAGCTCAGCCTTAGCCCATTGTGTAGCTGTACAACAGACCAGCAGCACAAAGCTCCTCCGTGTTATGTTGGTAAATTATAAAGTCTTAGACCAGATTCAGGGATTTAGAATAACGAGAGATCCGTGGTCTAGATGGATATCAACCACCACTGCTGCTGTTTGTCTCTGTTCCACACAGCATCACTGTGTAATAGGGGGCACAACCAGTACCTATATAAAGCCCCCACTGTAGGGTAATTACAACCAAACACCCTGTGTTCACTGTCAGCTCCCTTGTTAGAGACACAGAGAGCGGGCGGGTGGTTTCACTGTTTACTGCCTGTAATGAAAACACAACACAGAGGAGGAGACACAACACTGATAAATGCTCTGTGGTTGAACATACACACGTTTGCCCCGCCCTCTTTTCACCTAAAGCATGAGATTGTATTTCCAGAGTGCTGCAGCCAGTTGACATATTGAAAATAAATATTCTTGTCTGTGTGAAGTAAGTGCCCTCGCTGTGACTGTGTATTGACTTTCTTGTGTCTGACTTTTAGTGAAAGAGCTGAACAAATGTCACTGACATCATTGTTTCATTCAATGTCACAGTAACAGGTTGTAGGATATATGAGCAGGAGCTGTGGGTCAGAGTAGAGCAGGTCAGCCTGTAAGTATTTTCATCAGTAAGTATTTATCAACAGTGGAAGACTCCTCAGGAGTCCAGCTCACAGACTTACAACAACACTGTGTTGAAGATTGATGACCCAGTGTAGAGGCTGTTAGAAGGAAGAAGGAAGCAAGAGAAAAAAAACTTCTACAAAGGTCAACAGGAAGTTTGCTAGGAAGTGTGGCTCTGAAGATAAAAGGGTAAGGCAGGGCTGGTACTTAAAATAAATCCTCATTTATATTTTTAGTTTTGTCCAGACATAAAATTTTGAAGATGTTTGAGAAACAACATTCAAAATCTGGTTTGTTTTACACAGTGAGAAATGAAATCCATTCCTCGGACATAAATTACAGTTTATAACTGCAATCGTCTATCTCCTCATAGGCTATCTACAAGATGGTATCATCTGTCATGAAGATGCCGGAGGATGAGTCAACACCAGAGAAGAGGACGGAGAAGATCTTCAGACAGATGGACACCAACAGAGATGGTAAGATTAGAGATTTTGGTTTTCAAAGGCACCAGAAACAAAATATTTTTAGACAAAGTGTTAGACATGGACATGGATGCTTTGACTAAACAGACTATATAGATCTGAATGTACTGAGCAGTCTGTGGCTACTTCATATATACAACAGGGTTATTACAGTAGCAGCAGCACTTTCCTGTTGTGACCCCGAGCAAAGGAGAGAAAGAAATGAAAAAAAAATGGAGAGAAAAAGTAGGAGTTAACCACTAATGTACGAGGGGGAGGAGGAGGAGGTCATGCAGAAGAGTAAGACAGGGTTGAAGAAGACTGAACAGTGGAGTGGAATTCGAAAACAGAAACCAAGTGTTGGTTGTGAGAAAAGAGGCACCTTAATACTGCCCCCTTTTGGTGATAAGTCACAAATCAAGTGTTTCTCCTACTTGATCAACCCGGAAATATGAAGCACATGAACAAACTGCTGTCGAAGCTGGTAATACAGCAAATGTAAATATTTTTTACCAGCGGATAAAGCCTGAATGTCTACTGTGTGTGATTTACAGCACAGACTTTGTCTGAAGTAAATATTAAAAAAAACACTTTATTGTCTTTTAAGACCTGAATTGTAAAAGAATGTCTCTGGTCTGTTTGTTTTTAAGGAAAACTGTCTCTGGAGGAGTTCATCAAAGGAGCAAAGAGCGACCCCTCCATCGTTCGCCTGTTGCAATGTGACCCCAGCAGTGCGGGACAGTTCTAAACCTGAGGCACCATTTCACCCTGTAAGCCTGTAACCTACAAATATAAAGATATAGATAAAGAAAGACGTCTTTAAAATTAATTAAAAACATTTTGAGAAGGTGTTTTTTACCAGCACAAAATAATAAAATAGATAATGTCTCCTGTCTCTGTAGCAAATATTTTAGGTGACTCTAAACACCCTTAACTCTCTACCATGGAGCAGACTGATGATGATGATGATGATGAAGGATGATGAGCTAACAACGATGAAGGCTGTGATTTGCACTGAGGACTATAAAGACGAGCACAGGAGCGGCATCCTCCAGTTTTCTCTCCACTCTCTAGACTTGTAAACCCACATTAAAAAAACAGAACCTGAAGACTTTTTCAGTCCCAGGTTTTCTTCTCACCACAGTTAACATATCTGACCCCTCAACTCCTTCACAGACAGGGTATAAAGAAGGTCTACAGCAGGTTGCGTGTGTGTATATATAGAGTATACAGTACAAACTGGGGTCTCTGTATTGGTGTCTTTACTTGGCTGCCTGTGTGTCACTCTACGGTGTAAGATTGACGGTGTGTGTGATGAACATGGCAGCAGAGAGACGACAGTGTGTAGAAACAGGACAAACTGTAGTTTACAGACACGTGAAGTTTGCCGTTCACTCGGAAGGAGTAAAGGTTTTTCTTTGCTCTCCTTTCTACTATGAGAACATTTGTGCATGTTTGTTGAACTCAAAAGAATTTGTTTCGATTTTTTGTTTTCGTGCTGGGAAAAACAAAAACGTTATGCTACTGTTCATATTGACTTTAACCCATGAGTAGTTTGAATTTGTGGCGTTTTAACCGATGCTACCAATAAGGCGCCACAGCCACATCATCGGTTCCAGTGGAGTTTGATAGATGCAGTGTCACTGTTTTTGCTGTCTTTAGAAAACATAGAGAACTTGTCTTTGTAAAAGTACTTAGTAGTGTAGATACTTTTTATAGTGCAAAACCCTTTGTAAAGTTGCATACTCCTGAAAATTGGTTTCTGGTTTATAACAAATGTTGTGAAATGACAATTGACAAAAAAAAAAGGTTGTATATTTTAGTTGTTGCAGGAGATCAAGCATGCACACATTTTTCTTTCACTTGTACTCTATGAAGAACTAACTCTTGGTTTCTTCACATCCTTCACTATGAGGTGTGTTTGTTTGAATGCTGCATGCTGTTGAAACAGCACAAGACCTGAACTCAATAACACATATGCATGTAACACCTGCATGTGGGTGTGGTAAGGCTGTGTCTTCATAGATACGAGTAACCACAAAGGTCAGTCAGTCCGTCATCTGTGTGTGTGTGTGTGTATGACTGTGTGCTGTTGTTGTGGCCGTGACAACCAGGAGAAAGTGTTATCAACGTAGTAGAGACTTCACTGCTGCCAGGTTCACAGATAGTGAATCGCATCATTCCACAAGTGACAACAACTCTGTTTTTGTGTTCCCATTTTGAGTTTATTTCAAAGATGACTCTCTCCTCTTTCTGTTTCAGCTCATCTGCTTTGGCTCATACTGTTGCTCTGCTGGGGTTCTCCGACCTTCACTGCTGTGTACCGAGTGTAGTTTCTTCCTCTTGTCTGTCTTGAACTAGTTTTATCTTCCCCACAGTCAAATCAACACCAATAGCTGAGACTTAGTGAGAGGGGTCTGGTACCTCACACTGACCTGCTGCAACAACGTCTTTGTTGTTTTCCAACCACAGCCACATTATCTGTCTATGCCAAGCTTATGACAGTGCAAAAAGGTCTGGTTGACTTAGAATGTATCCAGGTTGGTGTTGGACATTTGCATGTCCACAGTTCTGATAAGTCACAGATCTGTGCCTAATTGAGGGTAGTATAAAATTGTCCACAGAAGGCAGGCACAGAGGGGTTGTTAGAGTTGACAGTTGTGTGTTTTAGCTGAGCTCAGTATTGTTCTGCAGCACAGTCGCAAGTACACTGAACAGAACACAATATATGTATGCTGTACTGACTTCTCGCTCAAGGCCTCTCTCACCATTTTACTCTACTAAACCTCAACAAGACAACAGTATTGACTGACTTCAAACTGAATTTTATGATTTTCTTCTATCTTTTTCCATAAACAGTTAAGTAAAAATACACGTCTTTTGAACTAGACTTTATGAATAGAACATTGAATCACATGGGCATGTCGAGGGTGAGCAAGTGCTGACAAATGTCAGGGTCAGAATACTGGTGTTTATGCAAACCTACAGAAGACACTGATGCAGGAAAACAAAGCTTTGCAAATGAAGCCATGTCCTCGAAGCAAAAACAGCAAAGCCATGAATGTTTCATTTAAAACACATTACTGTTGTTGTGAAAGAAATGCAGAAAAAATGCTCCGAGGATCACATCTGCTGCAATGATACTCTCACCATGTTTCTTTTACTGTATTTTTAGACTGTTTTCAGGTTAAACATTTCTGTTTAAAACACAAAAATAGCATCCTGTGCCAAATGACAACAAAACAGTATTGTATAAATTTACACTGTAAAAATGTTACCTGTTTGAACAAAATGTTTGTAACTGTTGCTTTTTGTAGGTTTTGTATGGCGTCCTGTTTTTAGTGACAACAATTTTCTGGATCTAATGATTCATTTTATTGGGGTCAGGAATTAAATTTACAATTTATTGTGTGCCAGCATTTATGTGGCGTCTGTTTAATTGAATAACTGCAAACACGTGTGACATATAAACAATATTTATTGGCTTATATAAAAGTCTGTACATTACAGTGCATTTAGCAGGTAAAGAAATGTGAGTAGGAACAGAGCAGGTAAAAACAAATGTAACGAATGCTGATCACTGCAGCTTTGTGACAGAAAAATAAAACAAAAATAATACTCATACCAAAGAGACAGCAGTCTGACATAATCCTGAGAAATGGTTTCATAAATGACACCACATCGATGTTGTATATTGTAACCCGAAATAAGGTTATGTTTAGGGCAGCAAAACAAGAACCGTACAGGTCATTTGAAGAAAAAAAAAAATTTTAAAGCACAAAAATGTATTCATACTGTAGGTTTTCATCACTCAACCTGTTTCCATGTGTGAGGTGCTGTGCAGCAGGTCGTCTGATGAACATGTAACATGTATTAACACTGTAAATATTCACAATTTTGCCCATGGTGTGTGTGTTGAATTCTACCCGGTCAGTGATGACATCAGAGCTGTCAGATCTCTGACAGGGTCACACGCAGACAGTCAGCTGTGCTCTCAAAGGCCAGGGTGAAGGTGTCTTCGTTGGAGTAATGCTGGACGATGTTGTCGTCCATGTTCACCAGCACTCTGAGGGAGACCAGGAACAACATCAGTCACACGTGATGTCTTTGTAACATTGTGATGTGAAAAACAGGTTACTTTACAACAGAAAGACTGCAGACATTTGCACATAAAGAACAGCAGTACACTTTTACAATTGGTGAGATGCCTTTTTTGTTTTTTAGATTAGACTAATCTAAAGAAAATTGTCAGTACATAAGACAGAAACTAGTGTATGCATTAGACACTGTATATGAGCATTTGTATTCAACATTGGGTGTCATAAACAGAGAACACTGTTGTGATTAGTGGAGAACTGATGTGTTTATTGAGTTGGTGTGACTTTTTGTTGTTGTTTGAACTTTTCTCTTCTTTTTAGGTTTCTTTGCAGCAGAGGTTGTTGTTGTTACATGTGATGTGCACAAATCATTCCAACAGAGGGATTTGTGCGCAGAGGATAGAAACAGCCAGCAGGGGTGTCTGCCTGCAGCCTTTAAGTCGAGTCAGATCTTTATATTCAGGTGAGTCAGGATTTAGAGTTTGATTCCAGATGAACATTTAGCCTCAAATGTTGTCTCTTTGTAATCGTACTCACCCTTTTTTGCTCTTCTGGTAAACTTTTGCCATCTTACCAACGGGTAAAGCATATTTCTCTGAGATCTGTGGATAAATAATGTAATAAAGATAAGTTAGATGATTTCATACACGAGTTTCCTGAATAATTCATCTGAGAACTACATCACAGCGCTAGTATCAGGACTCACTGCCTCCATCAGTGCTTTGAGAGTTGGTGTGTGCAGCATCAAAGCATCGAATACTTCATCACACTCTTTTCTCACATATAGAAGAACTGTTTGCAGGAGAAAAGAAAAAAAACATTTAATAGTAAATAAGAAAAATACAATTTTAGATAGTTTTTTTTTAAATATACAAACCTTTCCGTTCATGGTCTAACTTGGGTTTTTTGGACTGAGGTGGACAGGTTTCACTGTCAGACTGACATGACAACCTCTTCACCAGAACACTCCTGAAACAGAAGAAGTCAGGTTAACATAATGTATAAACATGGCACAGTTAGGTCCAAGGTTGCCTGACACCTCTTAGAGTTACATTTCTACAGTTGGTCTCCTTAATCAACAGACGCCACACACAGCTGATGAAATGTGCATTTATTTGTTGAAACAGGTTTAATATGATGCAAATATTTCACCAATGCTGTTAACAAAAATCACAGCCAACTGACTGGAGGTTTATTGGAAGATGAAGCTATGACTTCAATCATACTGTATCTTCTGGAAACAAAATATAGGGTTATGAGTTTTCTCTTCTTTGATCAGTCATGTGACACCATGTACCTTGTCATAGACGCCTGGTGAACTGAATTTCTGTTAAAACTAGTAGATTAAAGATACAGTATGTTGTGATCAGTTAACATTGTTTAGCAATCACTGAGCTTTGTTCATTTCTCTTCGAGAGTCTGTCAAAACCTATGGAGAAAGACTGGCAACAGTGTGACTCACCCGCTTTTGTCAACCTCTTCTGCATTGAATGTAAATACCTGAAAATTAATACAAGAATTCAACTTAAAATGAATGACACTGGACCAGGACATGGTTTGTTAGTGGTGGATTGACATGTCTCACCTGCCCTGCTCTCTGCAGGTTCCCAAAGTGGACGTCAGGAATAAAAAGGACAGGCTGGGAGTCCAGGTCCATCAAGGTTTTGAACAGTGTGCTGTCGCTCCTCTTCAGGTGAGAGCCGAGTGCAGAACTGGCATTTTTACCTGGTCCAGACAAAAAGAAATGTTAAACAGTTCAGTTTCACTTGATTCAATTATTTAGTGTTTTGACATCAAGGTCATTAATATTTAAAACCTATTAAATCAACAGTAAATCAAATGCATGTCAACACTGTTTCTACAACAGAATTTCTACACTTGTTCTAGCAAATTTTAACTCAAGATCGCCACCTACCTACTGATAAACTAAAAAATATATATCATTTTTTTTATAAAGAAAATGGCATTAAGGCAGAAGAGTTTCACCTTTTATCCTTTTTTTAAGATGTTTTTTCTCCTCATCACGAAGCTTCCTCTCAGCCCCCTGCAGAAACACAACAACTGTTGTGGAGACCGAGTACAAAAGATGCAGCAAATGTAGAAAAAAAACCCCACTTTGTTTTGTGGTGATTACAAGACAGGGATCTAACCTTGTCACAGAAAACCTTAATCTGAGAGTAGGCTCTGTGGATGGGTCGGCTACTGCAGCTGTTGTAGCTGTAGGTGTCAATCTGGATTATGAGTGGCGTTCCCTTAACGCCCTTCTGTGAGGAGAAGTCTGTGCTCAGACAGTTGACTGAGATGAAGACCTGAGTAACAAACAGGAACATTAGTCCAGCTGTAAATCTGTTTTACTTTTGGTCTGTGTATCATGTAAAATAGGCTGGAGGCAAGAACTTAACTGATATTAAATGATATGTTCCTTGTCAACCATATTATGACTGATGAAAAATCACAGACAGGAACAATGATGTTTCCCTACCCTCCCAGCTCCCCCCCGATCAGAGCATGTATTCCCACTCTAACTTCTCTTGAATCCTCCAGTCAAACAGGATCAACCGCTTCAACAACAGTCGGCAAAAACAGATAACGGTAGAGCCCTCACCGTGGCTCAACAATGACTTTCCCACTACGTAAGCAACAACAGCATCATGTTTGAACCTGCAGAGGAGAGGGCTGATTGCTGGAAATGCCTGGAGCACAGATGATCCTCCTGTACCTTCAACAGAATTACACCTCACACACACCCCAGCCACTTCTCCTGAAACTAGTTTAGGCATTGCTGCTGGCATCCTGAGTTGATGCGCATTTGTATGTGTTTGAGAGAAGAGGCGGGCGGGGTCCAAGCATAAACACTTATCCACAAGAGTTTCAAATACCTCTTTTTTCAATGAAAGCATTTGGATCTGAGCGGTCTAAACAGTCCTTGTACTTCCCTGTGGGGGCTGGTAGTATTTCTTGGAATGTGTGTGTGTTTGTGCCACCTTGACGAAGGTGAAATGTGAGTAGCCTTGTTTTCCTGCATGCCTGCAACCCCAAATAATAGCTGTCTCCTACCAAGCAATGCTGCCTCCACCTGTTGGGGGAGGAACGAAGGTCTAACAATTTACACTCCTGCTTCTAGTAGCTGCATAATCTCACTGTTCTTTTTTTGTTTTACCTTGGCTTCTTCACTGATGTCCCATGTAAAAGACACAGCATTGTAGGCAATTTCCTCCACATTCCCGATTGTGCTGAAGCTCTCCTTGTAGTCGGCTGCATTCAGATTAGAAATCAGTGAGACAATATGTAAATGACTGAAGTAACGCCCGTATCACTTGACATGGAACACTGAGAAAAACAGGCTTTTTTTTTTTTTTAAATAGTTGAGACAAAAATTTACAACAAAAAAAGGGCAAGTTTCAAGTATTCTTTTAGTTTTTTCAATCAAGGGACAATCTATAAATAAACCCTGGTTTCAGTTAGTTAATTGTACTGAATCTCCCCTGAAGGTGAAATGGGTTTGAGGAACAAAGAAACACATGATTGAAATGAAAAACTAATCTAAAATTCAGAAAAATTAAAGCCACACATTTTTAGTTTTTATTTTTAATCCATTTAGGATTTTTTGCTGCTTTTCAGAGCAGTCTTGCATTATTTAGTCATAATTCTTTAGTCCTGATAGTCAAGTAGCAGAGAACTAATGCAAAGGCCTGAAGCCACGGGTTGCAGACCGTCATGAATGCTAGTAATCCGTGACACCAGAATCCTATTCCATATTTTGATATCACTTTGTATGATGATTAAATTAACAAATAAAATCTGAGATGTAAATGTCTCTATCTTCCTCATCATCTCCCTCAACACCTCACCTCTGCATGTGTAATCTAATTTTCACTCGCTGTGAGTTTGTGTCTGAAATCTTATTGCTCATTCCACACAGTGTGAGCCCACAGGTTGAGGCCTGTCTCATACTGAGGGTTCAGGATGTGGCCTCAGTCCAGGCCCCAACCCACTTCTCCTCCTAACGTCTATGCAAATGCAGAACTACTGGTTTGTTCCTGGCTGAGCTGCTGTGAGAATCGAGGAGTGACAGTTATTCAAACCGTGGCACATTTTACTCCAGGATATGTGACGACTATTTTTCAACTGAGGTGTCTTTTAACTTTCCTGCCGGCTTACTGGCTCTCTTTTTGTGCATATATCTATATATTCATATATACTATATACTAATTACTAACAAACAGGCCTGTGGATCAAATAAACAGGTCATAAACCTCTCTTTTTGTCCCATAAAGTATTCAGTAAGACATGTCAGCGAACCATTGCTAAATAAAATTCCTGAAATACTGTTTTTTTTTTTACTATTTTCTTACCGATGTCTAGGACTCTCTGTTTGGCAGTGTGTTGACGAGAGTGCCAATATTTCCAATTCTTCAGCTGCTCATCTCTGCACTTGTCATCCCCGAACACAACCATGATCACACTCTACAGTACAAGGTACAGTAACATGGGGCCAAACATGAGAAAAAAAGGTAATATTAATCTTTCTTTAAGTTTTAAAGGAGACTAACAGTAGATTATTACTTTTGTCCAGCTCAGTCCCATACCCCCCCCCCCCCCACCCCCCAACACACCCCCACACCCCCACACCAACCACCACAACACACACCA